AACGTGTTCCCAGTAGTAGTAGGAGCACTCAAGCTGGGAGAGTGACTCCAACAGATCCCAGAAACAACACCAGAAGCTTCTGTCCAGAAGGATGCAGTGCTAGGAACATCTAGAATACTGCACAGAACCCTCAAACTCCCAGCCTCCTAGTAGAGGACCCAAGACTGAGGAAGACACAGACCACTCATAAGGATATTTTTATATGGTACAAATTGAAGACATATTTGATTCTTCATCTGTTACAGTAGTTTAATTTGGATGGGAAAAAAATAGTAAAATTTGTGTGAACCCAGATTTAAAAATATTTTAAGTGGTATAAAATGATAATATTAGCTAAACATACACAGCTTAAGAGTGGGGATAAATTTACCCAATTCAAGGAATGGGAGGATCAAGGCCTTCATTGAGTTAACAACTTAATTCAGATAAGAAACCTACCCACACTGAACACACATTTCCAAGGGACTAGAAGCAAACTCCAACTTGGTTTTAAAAAAGCCCAAATTATATTCCTTCTTCATAAATTGTATAGGTAGCATCTGTTAAAGTTTTTTAAAGTATTTTAGCAGTGGTGTCTCTCTGAAAGGGATCTATATGTGTATTTGTGTGTGTGTTCTCTGTGTGTATGTATGTATGTGTATATATATATTAGTGCAGTTAGTGCAGTAACTGCAAGGAAAGGGGAAATACCCCAGCTAATTTTAGAACTAGTGAGAAAGACACACGTAACAGCATACGTAGAAAAGGTGAGAAACAACTACACCCCAATGCAGGACACACACTTGGATTACAACGCACACAGCTGGGACCTATGACACGATCCAAGAACCGAGCGCAAATGATTGGAGGCTGTATATAAGCCCTCCCAATGACTGCCGTTTACACCCTGATGATGTCAAGAGCTCTTGACAAAAGCTAGGTTTAGTAAATAAAAGTTTTAACATTTTTAACTTTTGTATAATTTTATTCTCTTGATCTTCAACTATTCATTGATTCTAATATGAACATACCCAAGATATTTGTCCATATGATTTATATTTTTATATATGTCCATCACAAGTGATTCTTAACTAAATCTTTAAAACAAAAACCTTGAGAACAATAGGTACATTTTGAACTTGCTGAAACAAAGTAGAGTTTAGAATTCCTTTAAAATTTATTTCAGTAAAGATCAGCGAATGACTGCAAAGATAATCTATGCATGGCATACTCCATTAAAATCAATTTCCAGTATACTGAATATTTCTAAAGTATGTTATGCAATATGAAAGTTCACCTTTATGATACAGTTAGAAAGCTTCCCATTGAAAGCTTTTTCAACAAAATTAAGAGAATTGTACAGTCTTTTAAAATGAATTTTGCAGCAGAATTGATATTTCCTGAAACCTTAAACAGTGACTACATATGAAATTATTCCATTTCTATTCTTAGGAGGAAGATTGTGAATCTGAAAATACTGGAAAATAAAATTTTAATTCTCATAGGAAATATGCAGGAACTAGCACTTCTGAGCAAAAGTGCTTTGTTCAATTAGTTATTGAGCCCTCTTTTGTATGATTATTTCCTTTCCTGAATTTATTATGGTCATTTATTTTCCGATTATAGTTTTGTGTTGCCTATTTTGCACATTAAAAAATCCTGTTCTCGTCTGTCCTTTTTGCCCCTACCTCATCTAAATTTAACTTTATTTCTGAAAAAAAAATGTTTTGTCAAAGTTTGTCAAAATCTTGAATGTTAGCTTACTGGCATGTGAGCTGATCATGTTTTAGTATGACCCTTTTTTGGCCTTTACTTACTCCTGTCCAGGTGCTTCTGACCACTGCTTAAGCTAAATATCACATCACATCCCTTAGATTCCAGTAATAGGTCAGCTCGCAAGATATCCTAGCTAAGTGTCAAAGCCACAACCTGTTACCTAGTCTATACAGGAGACATTTATGGTCAACTTTTGGAGTGCTTATGGCCAACCTCTATAGTTCTTTCCAAAAGGTGTTAAAGAAATGTTACTTTTAGCAGGCAAATGCATAAATAAGCTAATAGTTTACAAAAGCCTTTAATTGCTTAACAAGCTATTAAGTCAGCAGACCCTCAAACTGGAGGGGTATCATAATAAACAAATTTCCTACATTCCTCCCTTCAATGTTTAAGTAATATTTTAAAGTTCTTTATCATCATCCCTTGATCTTTGCAAATACATCTGATAACTCCTAACCTTGTTTCCTGTGTAAGAATTCAACATCATGGCCTTGATGTTTGATTGCCACTTTGGGACCAGATTCTTTATCATGGAGGTGCTCAGTGGTAAACAAGACATACAACAACAGAAATCCTTATCATAATAATAGCAACTATAACTTTAAAAAGGGATCTTAGTCATTCTAAGTTGGGTTACCATGAAGTAATAGAATTCCGAATGTTAAATAAAGAAGAGGAATCAATATGTGTTATAGTATGTAAAATAGCTGATTGGTTCATGATGACTTGTACATCTGTAAAAACCTGTGATGGTCAACATAGGTGCAGAAACTGGAATTGATGAGATCATAACACCCCTTTGGTTGTCTAATAAAAAAATCCAGGGCCATGCAATTGTGAATAGCAATTTGTGACATAGTAGTTGCCTTTGCTTGCAGTTTCCTTATGGCATCTGCCATGGCCCTGGCGTAGATTTTAAGAAATGCTGAAATACTGAGAAGGACAAATTCTAAATCAGCAATCCCTAAACCAGGCAGATACCAAACAGCCGCTCCACAAGAAAGTTATTATGGAATATCTAATGCAAAGAGGTCAACTTAACTTAAGCCAAAGATGAGAAGAAGGTTGTAAGCTTACATCTAGAACCAGAACTCCCAAAGTGCTTAAGCCATACCACACAGGAGGTACCTAACAGTTCCACACATCCAAAACCATCCTGGCTTTGGGGTTTGTCTAGGTTCCAGTTCAGCAGAAACCTCAAAAGTTCAGATATAGTTGGTTCTGTTTCCCACAAAAGTTGCCTCAGTCTGAACTATAGTACATGTTTTCCTTGCCAAAGAATTTGGTGAACATACACATTTATCTGTTTATTTCTCCCCCCAGTAATGGAAGAGTTATATGCTGCCAGGAGTAGTGTAATTAAATGTTAAGGGAGTCTCAAATGAGGAAATACCCTCCATTAGATGAGCTGGTATATGGGTACACACCCAGCTTCAACTGCAAATTGATAGCAATGTTTGAAGACATGTTTATGATAAGATTATCCTTCCAACTAAGTTGATGGTTGTGATGAAAGTATTTCCACTCAGTCTCCTTTAAAGCCAGGTGAAATGCATCCTGTACTGATGGATTCTTTGCTGAGCAGTTAAGCATGACTACTGGGTCATAAAAGTTCTTAAGGAAACTTGCTTGAATCTATGGTAGTTATGAAAGTCCATCATTTGTCCCATCTTTGTTGAGTATGAAATACCTTCCTCCATGTGTGGCACTAGCCACTAGCACTTTGTGGGAGCAACCCTTACATTTCCTATGGTAGAAATAAGAAATGGTTTTAAGCCTGGGGTAGGATTCAACAGACAAACAAATTTGACAGTATTAGGAGAAAGGCTTGTCAGGTGTAGCAAAATACAGACATAAACTTCCAAGGAAATGAAAACCTGCTGTCAAAAACTCCACTCAGAATGAAAAAGTCAGGTAACTCCTTATGCTTTTTAAGAGAACCTTTAAGCTGTTCAATGAGTTGCCTTTACTGTCTATCTGGGGCGTCCAAATCTATGATGTTATCTTCCAAAGGTGGTTCAGCTCTTTTCGCTCAGGTATGATGAATCCATGTTCTGATTCCCTCTACCTGAATTGAAGTATAGGGTGTTAATAGTACTTGATATGGACCTCTCCATCTAGGCTGCAAAGGGTCATCTGGCATCCATGATTTCACCAGCACAAAATCCCCACCTACCAGATCCTCAGGCTAGAGGAACAGCATAGCTATAAGTAAGAATTAGGCAAATTTCCACTCATCCTAAACTAGGACATCTCCAAATACTTTGGTCCTCCAGCACTTCCATCTTCTGATGGAGGAAGAGAGAAAGAAATTCCATTATATCAGGGGTCTTCAAACTTGGCCCTTTTATGACTTGTGGACTTCAACTCCCAGAATTCCTCAGCCAGCATGCCTAGCTGAGGAATTCTGGAAGTTGAAGTCCACAAGTCATAAAAGGGCCAAGTTTGAAGACCCCTGCATTATATGCTTATATGTCGTGTGTGGGGGGGATTCCTGCTCTCCTCGTAGTTTCTATGCCACCTTCTGCTGTCTAGAAGATGGTTTTCTGGCTGTGTGTTAGTGTTACAACTTAAAAAGAATCTGCTTTGACACTTCCAGATACTTTATTAAAAAGTACCAAGTTTGCCTCATGGAAGGATAGGCAACTTTGTGGTCAGGGAAAACACCTTTATAAACTATTCCCTTTTCTCCTTCCTTTTTTATTCACAGAGTAGAGGAAATTAAGCTAGTGGTCTCAGGATGTACCAAAATCAGTTGAGAAACATTTGTTTCGCAGCAGAGTTAAAAGTAAAAGTCTTAAAGAAACCTAAAAACGGGTAGGAATACAGCCCCTCACTATAGTTATGCAAATTAGAATGAACACTTATGTGTCTCAGTGTTTGAAGACTGAACTAACAATTTGATTTTCTCTAGGAAAAATAAGAATGGAAGGGGATCATTGCTTAAACTAAGCACTGTCATATTTTCTCTTGCATCCTCAAAATAGAGTTGGAGGTTTGGGAAAGTCGTCCTTTCAGACATATTTCCTTACAAGATTCTCCAATGCCTTCAGCAATGGCAGGGCTTCCAGTGTTCTGAAAATGTTCTTTAAAATTAAAAATGGAGATATTCAGAGATGTATTTGCCTTGAAATAAGCCCACACTGAACTATATATGCAGTATAATAATATCTGTGTTTTATTTTTTCTCTTATTATTTTAAAAGCAAATAAACATAAAAGATACAAGGGTATAACGAGGGGAGGTGCAATATTCTGTATGAAACAATTATAAAGAGAATAAGTCCTAAACAAGATGCTTAGCTCTCAGATTCAGTCCATAACTTAATCCAAAGGAAGAAATAATTGCAATTTAGATCCACATTTCTTGACTTCCTGCAATCTCAGATCAGAACTCAATAGCCCTTTGACTCCATACTGGAACATTGGGGCATATTCAGGACAAGGTGGAGCAAGGAAGAATGGAGACCGATGGATTTGTCTGTTGCTGTAGAAGATATGTCAGTGATCCAATCTTCCATATGCTGTAAAAGAAAGTAGCAGCAAGAATTTAGCAGAGTCTACTGTACCATTGGACCCTCTGGGGGCCATTAAGGAGTTCTTGCACAGGAGCAGGTCACCACAAAAGGAGCTTTGCTCTTTTAGAAAATTCTATCCATCGTAATATTCCCCACAGATTGGATTGGATAGTAGGTTATTCTCAAGATCTAGAAGGATCCTACTCCCAGCTCCAATGTGGTCCAGTTTAATCACTGATACAAATTAGGTCATATCATTGTACTCAACAAGTGAGAGGTTATATGTAAGCATTTTTCTGCAAGGGATAAGGGGAACCTCCCATCCAAGAGAAAGGAGACAACCAAAATCATTCCATGTTATTTTGCTGTTTGGGTCTGACCAACAATTATCCCCTCCCTGCCCTCAATCAAGGATTTATGACTCCAAATTATGGAAGTTATTGAGTTGCTTGAATTGGAGTATCCCAGAGGTGTAATACTAATGCTGCAGGCTCTTAAGGAATAAATAAGCTAAGTATTACCTGATTGGAAATATTGGAGTCCTCACGGTCGATGTTTAGAACAAGGTGAAGAATCAAATGGAATATATGGGATTCAAAGTGTTTGGGAAGAGGAGGGTGGATTGGATGGTACTGGAGGGTAAAATATTTGACTGTGTAATGGGATCAGTCATCTATTCTGAGTCAATAACTAAATACTTAAGGTGCCCATCCTAGTATCACTGAGGTATGAAATTTGAAATAGACGCTCCATTAAATTCAGTCTAAGGTCTCTGGAGTCCAGAAATGTATGACTCACAACTGAGGAAGGAAAGGCTTTTGTATTCTTGAGTCACATCTTCTGAGACTTCTTGGAGATTCTTGATGTCTTCTCTTTTAGGAATATCTTCCAATGTTTTATTCAACTAACTGCTCAGTCCAGTTGAGCAATCAGCTCTTTTATAGTTGTGTCCTTCTGAGTTACATTTTATTTTTGTGTTGTGGCTTTGATTATTGTCCTACATTTTATTTTTTGCTTTGGGTTTTATCCTGTACATATAAAACATCTGCCTGTATTTATCCTTTCGCCTTGCTCATCTCTTAATCCTGAATATTGGAAATACTGTAAATATCCTTGCACAAATTCCAAATGTGATATGTTCAATGGTCACCATTGAGCAGGACAGCACTGAAGCAAGCATGTAATGTGGGTGAAGCATTTCTGTCACCTGCTAGAAGACATCGAGCAAAACAAAGATGTGACTTAATTATTCATGGAGCCAAGATTCCAGGTGCTGTGACATTTCTAACTTTTCTTCGAGCCTCATAATTCAGTTCATTTTAGCTGTGTTTCTTTCATCAGCTATCTCTCCATAGATATCCTTAAATGGGAGATATATAACCAAGAAGAACATTATGTGAATGTAATGTTTTTGCTACGTAGTCCACTTCCTCAGATTTGGAGGGAATACTTTCCCAGAACTAATTCTTTGGGTTTCATGTCCAATAATTAGTTGCCACTAGATTTGGAATGCTTTAGCTCACTCACAATTGCTTCTGCTAGATGGATGATGATGTTTATGAAGTATGGCACTGAGAAAATCAAACTTGTTCCTCTTCATCCTGTTGGCCCTGAAAAGATGCCAAGAGAGTTAGAAGAGGCCCTTGCACTGCCTCAGCTCTCCTTTCCTCAAGGAATAGAATAGGAAGAGTGAAACCTAAGATAACAATCAACTCTCACAGAGGAACTTTCTATGAGACAAGCATGCTGGATTTTCATGGGACACATAGTAATTTATGCAGTCCATTTTACAATTCATGAAAACCTCCAAAGAAAATCTCTTTGCTGAGATTTCTGAGTGTTTATCTTGTCCTTATTATCCAAATGCCTGCAAGTGGGGTCCTCTGTTACCTACAGATCCAGATCCTATGGTTCTAGACTGCTGCAGCTTGAAGGAGTCCCATTTGTAGCTAGGTAGTGAGCCTGGGTGGAAATACAGGTTAGGTAGAATGTGCTAGATCTCCTTCCGTTCACATAGGACCCATATCCTTCGCACTGAAGACCTCTTTGGGACCTGATAGGCTTTTCTTTTTACTCATTAGACATGTAAGGGATAATTGTGTCTCCAAAATATTCTCATCAAAAGTTCAGAATCTGCTTGATCTTTGGGAAAGGGATTTGTAGCTGTCTAGAAAGGGTGAAGGACACTTGGGGGTGGGGTCCTAAATGCCAAAGTGCCTTTATCCCTTAAAGTTTAACCACCCCCAAATCTATGGGGCAGCCATTCTAATGTTCCTGTTCATAGTCCTCAAGCTCAGCTCTCTGACATATTACAAATGACATATTAGGCACTGTGGGACCTCTGAAATTGTAATCTTCTGCACCTCCAGGCCTCCAATTCCATTTACAGGGAAGAGTCCATTAACTTGGAGTTTTCTGGATTCTTTCCCAAATTAGTTGGCATGCAGTCTTACATAGAGTTTGCTTCAAACAAGAAAAGTGGGGCATGCTCAGATGGTTGAAATACTTATTCAGGAGACAAAAAAAAAATCCTTTCTCCTTAAGACTATATTAGAGATTTCCACTCCTTTCTAATACCAACTCCACCACCCTCATTCAACCTTAATCATGGTCTCCCCTGCATTCTAGTGCCCTCTAGGTTTTTTACTCCTCTCCGTTTGGAGGAGATCCTGCCCCTCTTGGACTTTCTCTGCACTGAAGGTCAGAAGGGCCCCCACCTTCAGGCAGAATCCACCAGGTACTTTTTGGAGGATTTTCCGGGAGTCTGCATGGGTTGGATTCTGTTGCTCTTGTTGAGGATGATGAGGATGCAGGGCCTTTTCTTTAGCAGTCCTTCTGGGACAACTTTGTTATTCTTTTTAAGAAAGAATTGTATTATTTTGGATAGCCTACAATAGAGAGGAAAAGATGAGAAAAATTATTTGCAGAGATTTCCCTTATGTAGGGACAGATAGAAGATAGCAACAATAAGGAAGGCAAAATAGCTTCTTGGGGGGGAGGGGAGTGTTCTATGACGTTTCCCCTTTCCTGACTGTGCATAAATTGTTCTTGGATAAAGTGAAGCATCTTGATGAAGAGCAAATTCTCCCCAAAGGAAATTGGCAAGTTTGGAGAACTAATTGAAGTGATCTACATTTTTGGCACACTGTGAGGATGCCTGGTTATGATGTGACAGCAGAAATATTCAGGATGAGCAGGCTAATGTGTGCAGTAGGCTCATTTCATTGGGAGAGCAGCAAAAGAGAGCACAGTAATATCCACCATCTTTCTTCTCGGTTTAAATTATGAGCCTTCTTTTAATCCGAGCTATTTTCAGAACCGCCAAACTGGGAAGATAAGTTAGAGGGTATTAAAGGAACCCATTCCTGGGGGGAATTGGCAGAGAGCATTCTCGGACAGTCTTAGAGAATGAAGGCTGCTATGGATTCTTACTTACATTATTATCCCTTTTCTATCTTTCAATTCAGAAACCAAAAAAACTAGAAAAGTTCTCCCTTCTCTCCTGAGCACTGCTGCTGTTGTAACATATGACAGTTGCTGAGACTAAACTGCCAAGGTTCATGATGTCACAGTGGAAGGGCATGATGTCATAGTGGTCCTTTTGGTCTCCCAGCTTTTAATCATTGTGGCTTTTAATCCACGTTATAGCCTTTTCTGATTGATGTCACTCTTATTTCATATTAAGGATATGTATATATTTTAGTTACAAGTTACAACAGTGTAGATTTCTTTTTCAAATCATAGTTGTCCTCCCACAATATAAGCTTGTATTGTGCAAGCATATGATGGGGAAGGAAGGAAGGAAGGGAGGGAGGGAGGGTGGGAAGGAAGGAAGGAAGGAAGGAAGGAAGGAAGGAAGGAAGGAAGGAAGGAAGGAAGGAAGGAAGGAAGGAAGGAAGGAAGGAAGGAAGGAAGGAAGGAAGGAAAAGCAAACCATGGTCCCTCAATCAAACTGCTCAATTTAAATTATGAATGTCTTTTCATTCCCAGTTGACTGGTAAAGCTATTTCCAGAACCACAAGTCGGGGGGAAAATGACAAAGTATTAAAAATACCCCTTCTTGGACTTGGATTGGCAGAGAGCTTTCTAGGAGCATATTGGAAAACCGATCTTACTTACATTATTATCCTATTTTCTTTCTTTCAACCTAAAGCAAGAAACTAGGAAAGAGGTGCTTTCTCTCCTGAGTAATCCCACTAATGTGACATAGGAGCTGAGTTGCTGAGAATTTAAACTGCTGAAGGTAGTGATGTCACAATGGAAGGTGACAAACACCTCTGTAGGCAAAAGGCTTTTTCTGATGATGGCTTTTAATCCAAGCTAAAACGTATTTTACTTTTGAATAAGGATTTGTTTGCACATTTAACTGTAAGGAAGAATACTACAGATTTATTTTTACTGTCATTGGTGCTGCCCCACTATTTAAATGGGATGATTTAAAGTTTACTATTTCCTGTAATCACCAATTTAGTCTCATGGAGTCAAAAGGCCTGATGTGCTCCTCCTTTAAAAAAATTACAAGAAGTAATGGAAACATTGATTAAAAATTGAAAAAACATTTTATATTATCTTGTATAAACGTACAAAAGTTGCAAAATATTTTCATTTCATAATTGCTGTGCACTAATAATCCTAAGTGAAAGATACAATTTCATAGGAAAATGTTCCTCCAGCTGTTATGTTTATTTATAAACTAGACAACCTGTGACCCATTAAATCATCATTTTAGAGATTATTTCCTTACAGGATTCCTCAGTTGTTTCAACAATGATAGAGCTTCTAACATAATTGCCTTTATTGGAAAAATTCTTAAAAAATCATGGAGATATTCAGAGATGTATCTGCCTTGAAAACAGCCCATGCTGAACTGTATAGCACAGTACAGATTTCATAATTATGCTACACTGATTTTAATTCTAGCAGGAAAATCTTTTTTATATATATTGCAGGAAAGTGCTCCTCCATCCTCTGATACTTATTTATTTATCAATATACATTATATATTTATTTAGCAGTGTGAGTGAATTTCCTGGGAACTGGGAGGCAGAGAGAAATGTATTCTGCCAACGTATCTTGAAAATGGTTGGCCTTCCAATGTTACAGTATATGAGTGATTCTTAACTTCAAGATGAGATAACAACCACTACTAGCTAATATTCACTGTGTCATTTAAGGAAAATAACTTCCATGGGGAGAAATTTGGAGGATTGCATCTTTAGAGACCCTCATCTCTTTTCTGTTGTTAATGAAACAGCCCCCCCAAGGAAAATTAGCTCCATAGAGACCATCTAATTCAGCGGTTCTCAACCTGTGGGTCGCGACCCCATTTGGGGTCGAACGACCATTTCATGGGGGTCTCCAAACAACGCGATCCGCCATTTTTTCCGCCATTTTTTTCCACTTTTCCTTAGCTGTGCTACTCCCTCTTATTCTATTGGCTTTTGAAAGCCAATAGAATAGACTCTCTGGAACAGAGTCTAATTCTATTGGCTTTCAAAAGCCAATAGGAATTGTCCAGGGCTGTCTCCGCCCTGCTGAGCCTGCCAAAAGCCCCAGTCTGCAAACGGTGCTGCAAGGGGAACAGTCTGCAGAGCTTCCCTCCCTGTTGAGCAACTAAAAAGTAAGTAAAAGAGGGCCGGGGTGGGAGGTGGGAGGCCGGTGGGTGCAGGGAGGGTTGCTGGCACGCGTGGGGCCCGGCAGGTGCCTTACCTGCCTTGGGCTGGGCCAGCTGGTGGCCCAGCTGGTGGTCGCCCTGTGCCGCCGCTGCCGTGGCCGCCTGGGAGCGTCCGGGCCTGCCTGCCGCTGCCCCTTGCCGGCTATGCCTCAGCCGGCGCAGGGGGGCAGCACTGCACATGCTTATGACCGGGGTTGCCGGTATAAAAAGGTTGAGAACCACTGATCTAATTTGCCTGAACAAATGATGCAGCTTGGAACTAGGCCTGAAAGTATCTGCAACTCACCAGTCAGAAAAAGCTCCACAGAGCAGATATAATCAGGATATTTTGTGGGGGCAGGGAGGGACAGTAGGCAGTTTGGGTTTCTTGAGAATGTCTTGAAGGTGTTCTCTGCTAGGACAGGAACTTCAATAGTCACAAGCTTCCCTAAAGACAAACTAGTGATATTAATAGGAAGTTCACATCACATACCAAGGCAAAGCAAGACTGAAAGTTGCACAACACACCTGCACACTGGTATGCGCAATGCTATACATGCACACAGTCTCTGCACATCCGCCACACTCACAAAGTAAAGAACATTACATCCTACTGGATGATGACTACCCTGTATACAATTCCTTCCCATTTTTTTCCTGCAGTTTGCCTTTAAAAAGCCCTCATTGCTTAGCATCCTCTTGAACATTTCAATCACTCAGAACATTTCCAATTATACCTACTTCCACCTTTAATTTACATTTACATTTTTTTCAGGTCAATTACTTCCCTACCCCCAACCAGGAATTTTAGAGTGTTTTATTGATCTAATGAATTCCATTTCCCAAGGAAGTTGTGCATTTTGGAGCAAGTTTCCTCATCTAAAGATAGAATTTTGTTTTTAAAGCTTTTGCAACTGTTGTCTGAAATTCCTAAGCAAAAGTTTATCTGTATTAGAGGTTGAAAATCTTGAGGGGGGGGGGATCAACATTGAAGCTTGGTATCCAAAATAGTATCTAGAATTCCTGATCTGAAGAAACAAATTCCCTTCTTCCTTCCTTTTCTGATGAGAGTGCTTCCAGAATATACAATTATTCTGTTACTCAGCAGATGAGGATAATAATTTCTAGAAAGAATTAGATTCTAATTTCTAGAAAGAATTAGATTCCTGAGTTGGGAGTGTTTCATCCAGAAATTTACAATGTTTAGGAGTGTTCCTTTGTCAGCTTCTGTAATCTTCTAACAGTCTCCTTTTTTAGAATGTTATTTCTGAAAAATATACAACAAAACAGTGACAAAGCAGCTATTATTAACATGGTTAATTGAAAGTCTTTATGTGTACTCAGATGGCAATCACTGTGATGGGCACAGTTCCCCTTCCTAAATTATGCTTGGGAATAAAATTATCAAGGTCAAATTATGTCTGGTACACTTAGAATAGCCTATTTTGAATTCAGCACAGTTGTTCCAAGGACAGAATGTTCTGACTTCAAAACACATTGCATACCTGTAGAAAATCTCCTTCCATGGTTCTGCAAGTACTCTTTTCCCCAATGAAACTGAACACTCATTGGACAGCTTACCATTGATTTTGCTCAATGAACGTCATAGGCTTAATGTTTTGCATCTCCAGTGGCAAAGCAACATGGAACAAGTACAATATGTGCTTGTCCCTTCTTTGCTTCTCTGGAGAGCTTTCTGCATTCTGTTGAGTAAACACCAAACTACAAGTAGTCCTCGACTTACAACAGTTCATTTAGTGACCGTTGAAAGTTACAATGGGACTGGGAAAAGTGACTTATGACCATTTTGGTAAAAATTCAGATGCTTGGCAATTGACTCATATTCATGATGCTTGCAGTGTCCCAGGGTCATGTGACAACTTCTCTGACCTTCTGACAAGCAAAGTCAATGGAGAAGCCAGAGACTGCAGTGTTTCACTCAGCAACTGCAACAAGAAAGGGTGTAAAAAAGAGCAAAACTCACTTAACAAATGTCTCACTTAGCAACAGAAATGTTTGGGCTCAATTATGGTCATGAGTCAAGGACTACCTGTATAGGAGGCAGTGGCTTTCCATGGGCGGAGGCTGCTGTAAAGCTTTCTGTGAAATGAGAGGTGTTCTTTTGGATGGGCCAATGAAGCATCATTTTAGGGAGCCATTCGCTGATCTGCCAAAATGGAGATATTCTGGGTTGTATGGAATTCTGAAGCTCCACAGAGGCCAATGGGTCCTTTCCCTTTAAACCCAAGCTCCTACCTTGACAATATTTTACTTCCAGTTTTATACTACAAGCCATTAAAGTTTTTAAAACGATGAAAATCTCCCTGGCTGCTTGATAAAATTGTAGTTGTGTTATGCCAAGCCTATATCTGACCCACTGCTGCTCCTGATTATAGGGCTGCCTGTTCTGTAATGAAAAACAAGCATATTTATAAAGATAGGTTTCCTATTATCCTGAGAGGCAGCTGTTACTCTGCTGCAATCTTTTATTTTTTTTAATTAGTTTAGTAGAGTACTGCCTGTTAATTCCACACTTGACAGTGATCTTTGGCCCTAGTTTTTGAAGCCTTAAATGATATTGTCCTTAAAAAAAACCTCAAGGCTCACCACCATTAAATATTTGATTTGATTTGTTCTATTATACAGCATATTAAATGTTATTCTGCCAGCTAAGTATATATGGGTGTGATCCAAGGGCAATTGAAGTTAATGGCCCTCTTTCAATTAGCATCAATGGACTTTTTTTTTAATTAAGCACCATATATGTGCTTTCCAAACCACACTAATAACATTCTGACTATACTAATAAGGAATTTTCTTAGGAGCTCTACATATGAGATTTGTATGGTTCACCAAACATGAGAACAATAGGAAGGAGGGAAGGGGCCGAAGGTCTTTTTTACCATGCTGAATAGCTGCTGTTCCACTAATTCTTAAGATGTCAAAAATTGTGCTGGGCATCATCATCCAGAAATTTGAAATAAGCCTTTATGTGCAGAGTGGGTAAGCAGTGTGAAAGCAAGCATTTTAAATAAACTGTTTCTTGCTTCCGTTTTCCCAACATCTTAAACACAAAAAATAATAATAATGAAGTTCTCACTTGGTCAGACCAAAGAACATCAAGACCAGTTTCCATTTTTCCAGAATAACCCAGTTCATGCTTCTTGGAAATCCTCAAACCCAAGACTATTATTCCCCATCAGCAAATATCCTTCAAATAGGTTGGCACTGGATGGCCACTACCCCACCAATATAGTCACTGATCAATCTGTTACAGGAAATTCAATGCTTTTAAAACCTCTAACTGCACGATACAGTCATTTTCATTCATTCACAGTGTTTTGCAAATCCTAGTAAGAGAGAGAAATCACAGATACATGCATTCGTTCTGGGAGCTAGCTCGATAGTGGTTAAGGCACCAACAGATTGTGAGTTCAGGTCCCACCTTAGTCATGAAAGCCAGCTGAGCAATCTTGAGACAGTTTCTCTCTGCCCAAATCATCCCACAGTGTTGTTGTTATGGGGAAAA